CAGTGGCTTGGGGAGACACTCTGACCAACGCAAGAGGAGATGCTCTGAATGACTTAATGGTAGGAACAAACCTCAACATACTAAACAGTGGCAATACTCCAACATTTATTGGAAGAGGAATGGGGTCACTGGTAGATGTGACGGCAGCTTCTCCATTGGTAGGTAGCAAAATAAGTGATTGGAGAGTACGGACGGATGGTGATAACTATTCGGACCACAATTACATATCGTTTAGTGTCCAGGACATGAAAACGAGGAGCTTAAATCAATTCAACAGCGGAGGTTGGGTCACTTCTAAGGGACTGGACCTGGAAGTTTTTAAAACAGGATATCTATGGTCAAAGCGAGAGGAAACAGAAGAAGATGACATTGAAGACATGATACTGGAATTTGAGAGAAATGTCAAGGCGGCATGCGACTTCTCCCTGCCCAAGAAGAATCTTCCGCCACATGAGAAACCTCCAGTGTACTGGTGGAATGAGGAAATAGCGGCCATGAGGAAAAATTGTACACGCTCCAGAAGAGTTTACAAGAAAGCTGGGACAGCAGCCAGGAGAGGAAGGTTTTCCGAGGCAGAGCTAGCTCGTCTCAAAGAAGCCCTAAAAGAAGCCAGGCGTAGCCTGAAATATGGAATAAGGGAAGCAAAAAAGAAGTGCTGGAGGGAGCTTATCAAGTCAGTGGACAAGGACCCATGGGGGAGGCCTTACAAGCTGGTGATGGGGAAACTAAAAGGCAAATCAGGATCTAATCAGATGGAGGCCACACTTATCAAAGAAGCTGTGAGGGAACTATTCCCTGATCATTCCGAAGACAGTATACAAGCAGCGGAAACAACATCGACGGACACAGTTCAATGGTTCACTAACGAAGAGATAGAGGAGGTAATATACCACATAAGAGGGAAAAGGAAAGCGCCTGGTCCAGATGGACTAACAAACATGATACTAGCGGCGGTACATGCTTCTGACCCTCACATATTAAGGAAGTTATGTAACAAATGTCTGGCAGAAGGAGTGTTTCCAACCAGATGGAAGGAGGCCAGACTGGTACTGGTCAGAAAAGGCAACAAGCCAGCAACCGATCCATCATCCTTCAGACCGTTATGTCTGTTAAACGATATAGCTAAACTGCTGGAGAGGTTGCTGGTTTGGAGAATGGACAAATGTCTAGCACGTAATGGAGACTTGTCAACTCACCAGTATGGGTTTAGGAAGGGCAGATCAACCATAGATGCATTACAAGAAGTTCAACAAACGGCAATCAGAGCCATTAATAATTATAAGTGTTGTGTAGCCGTAAGCTTAGATATAAAAAATGCTTTCAATTCGATAGCTTGGCGCCATATAGTAAGTTCGTTGCAGAAATGGCATGTCCCACAAGAAGTAGAAAGGCTACTGCGCTCATACTTCCAAAACAGACGAGCATTTATTGTATGTGCAGCAAATGGGGAAGAGATAGAGGTGCCGGTCACGTGTGGGGTACCCCAAGGATCGGTACTTGGGCCTACCCTGTGGAACATGACCTACAACAGCGTACTGGAGATGACATTGCCAACGGGAACATCGGTGATAGGGTTTGCAGATGATACTCTAGTAATTGCGGTAGCCGACTCCCCGGAGGAGGTAGAGTCAAAGGCCAATGAGGCATTGGCAATAGTCACTGGAGAAATTAGGAGACTGGGCCTCAGAATAGCCGTATCAAAGACGGAGGCTATTTTCTTCCGAAGGAAATATATAGCCGTATCAAATACGGAGGATATTATCCTCCGAAGGAAATATAAAGATAAAACTCCCAGGATAAAAGTTGAGCAACAGGTCATACCGGTGAATCAATCAATCAATTACCTTGGAGTCACTATCGATAGGGATCTCATGTTTGGGCAACACGTTACCAAGGTAGCTGAGAGAGCAATGAAGATGAGCACATCACTACTCAGGATAATGCCCAACTTAGGAGGACCGAAAGAAAGTAGGAGAAAGCTGTTTGTGGAGGTCCTTCATTCAGTGCTCCTATATGGCGCGCCAATTTGGGCGGACACATTAAGATACAAGAAGGCGAGCGTTGACACACTCAGGAAAGTGCAAAGGAGGATCCTGTTGGCTAAAGTGTGTGCTTACCGAACGGTTAGTGGCACTGCCACCAACATCCTAGCGGCAGTTCCACCTATAGATCTATTGGCAGAGGAGAGGAGAGATTTGCATGAATGGAGAGCCTCGGCGGTAGACATCAATACAGATTACAGGAGGGTGTTGAGACAGCGAACGATAGGAAAGTGGATGAGGCAAGTACAAGACTCCACAAAAGGGGAGTGGACTAAAAAATTACTTCACAACAATCTGGAGGAGTGGGTTACAAGGAGACACGGGGAGGTGGACTTCCACCTCACGCAATTGCTGTCCAACCATGGGTGTTTCTCCAGCTACTTATACAAAATAAGAAGGCTGGAGACTAGCTCATGTTGGAGCTGTAACCACTCGGAGGACGACGCTTTACACACTCTGTGGCGGTGTCCCAGGTGGGAAACTATGCGCCATCAAATGCGGTGCCAGATTGGATATGGTGAGGAAAATGATATTATATCCAAAATGTTGGAAAATAAAGAAAATTGGTTGGCAGTGCAAGTATTTGCAAATACGGTAATAGGAGCCAAAGAAGAGTTAGAAAGGGAGATGCAACGGCAGCAGCAGGGGCGACGGGATCTGTGATCCGGCCAAAGAATACGATGGAGAATGTATATAGAAGACAAATATTGTATATAGGATTACAGGAAATACGTTGTTAGAATACAATTATCATGATTTGTAAATAACTTAGTAGTATGTACCGATGTAAATATAGATCAAGTAGATCGATTGTATTGTAAATAGTTTAAGATAAATGTAAATATGTTGATTTTGCTAATAAACGGCAACGGCCAAACCGGGGGAAGTAATGCCTAACGGCTGGTTCCCCCCGGAATGGCTACGGTTGCATATG